ATTTGCGCCAGAGGACAGACCTCTCTTGTGCCTGCGGGAAGAATCACTGCCTCCACCAGCTCTGGGCTTTTCTGATTTTCCACGCTTGGGATCAGAGATTTTGCTTGTTCACAACTCATCAGGGCCTCTCCTTGTCTGGGGCACTTTTGCCACGGTACCCAAGCTCACAGCCAGCCTTGCTGGGAATGAGCAGGTGCTGAAGGAAGCTGGCTGTGAGGTGTCCATGGCAACCAGCTGCCGAATGTTCTGGTGGAGAACCACTGAGATCCAGACCAGGGCTCGGTGGCTCAGCACCGCGTGCATAACCACTGGGCAGGGAAAGCAGGGTGCTGATTCATGGGGTCACAGAATCCCAGAGGTGGACAGGACTTCCAGGGCCCAGGGCCGGGGCGCGTGAGGGGATGTAGCTCTGACCCCATCCTGGGGCGTGGAGACCTTCTTGTTGCTGTGGGACCGGGACCGACAGCTTCAGCAGAACCCTGCTTCTACCAGCTCCTGATTGCTGCCAGGGAGGGCTTCTGCCGCACCCAGGTGGCCACGACCCCAGAAGCTTGTTCTCGCTCCAGGCATGCAGGGAGGGCTCGTGATCAGAGGGGAGACAGGCAGAACCTGACCTGGTCCCCAGGGGTGGGCAGGGAAGGGTTTCCTGGCCTGGCCCTCGGTCAGCTGATCACGCCCCCTCTGAGCTGTTTCCAGGAAATGGGGGCATGCCATGGCGAGGACAGCTGAGAGCCAGCTCCATGCATGGTGCCAGGACTTTGCGGGCATCTGATTGTCTGCCCTGGTGCCCTGGCCTCGCCGGCCTGCTGGTCTGTCTGGGAGACAGGAATCATCCTTCCTGACCTCCCTCCAGGGCCTGCATCCAGGGGGTGTGGCTTGGCCATGCACTCGCTTGCAGGCATGGGGGCACTTCTCCCTCAAGACCTACGGAGGCTAATTCCTCGAGAGCATTGCTGCGCACCCAAGGTTTTCCCTCCTGCTGGCCATGACTCATGGGGACACTGCCCTGGTTCAGCACTGAAAGAGATGGGAGTGGCGCTGACGGCGGCTGGACTCTCAGGGGCCAGGACCTGTGCCATGCACAGGGCTTGGAAACTGGTGAGGCGCTGGTGGAACGCCAGCTCCAGCACCTTGACCAGCTGGATGACCAGAAAAGACAATTTCTGGGTCTGCTTGGTTGACAAGCAGCTCCCAGGCCCAGCCCCTCCCCTGAGAACCCATCCTTGTCCCTGGGAGGTGGCAGCACTGTGCACCAGGCACCCGGCAGCCTTTGCATGAATGAGCTGGGTCACCCTTCACCATGCTCCTGGCATGTGTGCTCATGTGTTTCCATCCTACAGGTGAAGAAACAGGTGGGTGAAGAATGTCGTCCCGCATTCTCAGAACCGGGAGGGAGATGTGGGCCTGAGACTCAGGTCCTGCTAGTTCCGGATGTTCCTCCAGGTGGGCAGAATAACTGTCACACAAGGTGTCCAGGCCCAGCCCCTGGCATCTATGACCAGGTGACAGGACGTGGCGAAAGGGACTTTGCAGATGTAGTTAAGGTTACGGACATTGGCAGAGGGAGTTTATCCTGGGTTATTTGATGGGCCAGCCGCAAGGCAGGGCAGACGGCGAGTAGTGAAGGCTGATTCAGAGTCGCAAGCCCCCGAGGGCCCTTGCCAGGTGGGAGATGAGCGGGGAGGAGCTCAGGAGTGCAGCTGACCCTAAGGAGTTGCCAGGGGCCTGGCAGAACTGAATTTAGGCGACACCCTGGGGGGGCCTGGAATTAATCTCCACAGAGCCAGAAGGGAACGCGCACTGGTGGCACCTTGATGGGGGCCCAGTGAGCCACGCTGTCCCTGGACTATGGGGCCAGACGCCAGAGAAGGAACTGGTGTTGCCTTAAGCCTCTCTGGTGCCCCGTGACGGGCGCATTACAAGACACTGGGGCTCCAGCCCGGTGGCCCCTGTGCTCTGGCTGTGATTTAGGGGCTCAAGATTACGGTGTCTGACATCGACTCTTTGTTTTCTCCAGGTACTGAGCAGCAGCAAGGGGACTGTGATTGTTTTGGGGGATTGAAGTGATTGAAGTGAGGGG